GTTTCTTTCACACATTCTGTACATTATTCCTAATACTTGTAAGAACGAATGTTGTTTATATATACACTTTTTTGGTTGTAGCGGTAATTGCATCTTTTGTTGCTGCTAATCGTGGAAATATAATGTGCTTCTAACCATTCCGACTTCTGCCTCCGTGACTATTGCCTGTCGTGCGTAATAACTGATTGCCTTGGGAATTTACAGGACTTCTCATCCTACTTCCAAATATTACGACAATCAAGCCGACCGACGACCACAGCGGAGAGACGACAAATATCGCCTTCTGATCTCCGGAGTATCCTAAAATTGTGGTGGACGATACCGAAGAAATAACCTTCAAGTAACCTGTAATTATCTATAACATTGACAATACTATTTTGTGCTATAACGTATAACTTTTCACACACGTGTATCATAAAATCCATTTTTCTTGTAAATTATACGTAGTTTGTCATTTTGGTTTACTTGACATTCTTTGGGTCCACTACAAATATCAGTTAAGGCAGACTTAGTCAAATGTCTCAGTGATAGAGGTAGAAAACTGACTAGTCAGTGCAAGGACCTAAACAAGGAATTCAAACACGTAAAAGAAGCACTAGAAATTAATAATTGTCCTCCACAGTTTATTAAGAAATTCGTACGAACACACAAGAAACGAAAAAATTACAGGAACACGAGTACGAATAATAACGACAACAAGGGTAGAAAGGAGTTCAAAACCTCCATTATGTCACCCGATAAGGAAGGTACATCAGAAACTTTACGTAGGATCCTCAACAAAGCTGGAATCAGGGTGACATTTAAAGATACAGAATCTTGAGATAAGCTTTATCGGGTCCGATAGAACCAATTAAGCAAAATAATCTAATCTATCAAACCCATGTAGTTACTGTGAGGTCAAGTACATAGATGAAAGTGACCGGTCAGCGTCAGTTAGATTAGCGGAACACAGGAATCTAACTAAATATAGAATGACAGACCCGAATAAGATCAGTAATCTAGAAAGAGAGGGACTCGGGTATTGTAATGCATGCATTAACATACAACGACACAATAGGGAGGATGGGATAAAGCCACTGTACTTAAGTCCAATATAATTAGGTTGACAAAGGGAGAGAGAAATTACTGAATCTTCGTTCATCAAAACAACACGCAACATATGTAACAGAAATGACGCAGTACCTATAGCAGAGATATAGAAAATTCTACTACCAATAGAAACAAATCATATGAGGTGGCATAACTGTAAAACACAGATGCCGAAGGTTGTGATTACATTGATATGATTATGAGCAATGATAATTTCTGTTCGAAACGTCATCAAATAAATGATAATTTATCACTGTGTTATAAATCAAATGAACAAATCTAATATGTGATTAAAGTCTATCACAGTGTCCACGTTTTATACGTATATTAGCACCACTAGTTGTCGGTAATTCACATGACAACTCTCCATAAGCCCTGACACGGCTGCCTGAGTTCGAGAAGTGAGCTTTGATTAGCGTTACACATTCGTTCGGTAAAAAAGCAAGATACACGGAATGCTGATCATTATTTGAAAACACCTTGTTGCGGCTAGATCCATGCACACACAATAGAATGTCTTAACTTTTAAACCCTGACGCTATAATGTAAGTTTAAACCAATGGTGGGTCCTTAAATTTCTTCATCCAACAGTGCTTTTTGGCATAATAAGACGTCATATGAAGATCCTTTCAGCCAGTTTAATTCATCAAACAGATGACATAGTCCTGTTAGGTAAAGACACTGACAAGATGCTGTCTTCTAGACACCTTAGATGGTAACTCGAAAATGTTTGGGATGCGTTCTCACCACCTCAATGCAAATTGTTGCTAAAAGACTGGTCTTCAACGGTACCCCGGCTAACAGTACAGTGAAGTGGTTGAGCGCGTTGAACACCACTTACCTGGGAAGTCAGATCAGCCCTGGTGCCTCAGTGGGCGACGAAATCTGTGCACGAATACGAAAGGCTCGGTTGGCTTTCATCAACTTAAGCCATCTGTGACGCCGCCGTGATATCCGATGGTCTATTAAGGGCCAAGTGTATTGTGCTGTAGTCCGCTTTGTTCTACTCTATGGCTATGAAACATGGCCATTTAAGGTAGAAGGCTTCAGGTGTTTGATCACCGTTGCCTTTGTAGTATAGGCTGTATTCCGTAGTGTCACCAAGTGAGTAACGCAGGAGTCAAGCGTAGAGTTTCAGGCAGGAGAGGTAAGTCATTGGATGTAGTTCTGAACCTTCATCGACTGAGATGTCTGAGACAAGTGTTAAACATGCCTAGCCTTGGCCGAAGTAGGTTTAGGCTGGAAAAAGGCTCGAGGTGGCCAGACTAAAACTGGCATCTATGTATGAAATCTCTAACTGTTGGTTTGAGCTATGTGAGGTGATGCAGACTGGCCGATTGGGGTTCGCGGGACAAGAGGAACCAGTGGTTGAAGACTCAAGGTGATATGGCTGAGTTGGTGTCAGTAGCGCAGATGCATACACACATCTCAACACTATATTGAATCTCACCATTTTCTCATCTCTTTCCTTTCTTTTATTACTTTCTACTCTTACTTCTTTGTCGGACTTTGTTTTCCTTCATCTTCCATTTGGATTCCTTGTTACTTGATTTGCTGATGAGATGAGGCAACGTGGACCGTTAGACATTAATCCCTGGTCCTATGTTGATTTTGATGATGATGAAGTTTCCGTAATACTGAAATGTGGCTCACTGGCTTAAACACAGCTTTCAAGCCATAGGTCATTAGTTCAAATCCTGTTCAACCTTCTTTGGCTTGGGCAAATGGATAGTATCATAGGCCTTCACAAAACAAAAGTGGCTCAGAGGCTGCAACATATGTATATCGTGTATTACTATTACCACTATTATTTCAGCTCGACAGCCACATAAAGGTAGCCGCTGCCGATTGAAAACCTTGGTAGTAGGTAATGATGCCCACTGGATGAAAGTTGAGTGCCTAATCCGATAGGTCATACGACAATTTTTTGTTAGAATGAACGTCTACAACTGTACTATCTACGACGACGGAGCAAGCGGCTCACTAGTCCAGTTGGTTGACGTTCAACCAGTGAGTCATGGGTGTAAACCCTGCTTAACCTACTAAGGTTCTGGGGGCCAGGCAGTATCGTAAACCCACACATAGTATGTGGCTCACTCAACAGTGAATACATATGCACATAGCCATTTAGAGTTTAGTTTTTAGTTGGCTAGTCTAGTTTTATCTATGATTTCTAGAAGCTAGGCCAATATAAAAAAGTAGGTGCTAATTTAAGCAGTGAGTTTTGAGCCATTTGTAATACGAAATCAAAGGACACTCACCGAGGTAATCTAATTGCACTAGGTTGAATGAGGTATCTTTCAGCTACAAACACTGATTTCGTGCACTTTTTTTATGAGCTGACTTAATGCTGACACACCTGCTCTGTCATATGTGGTCCATTGGTTTAGACAGTTGACTTTCAACCAGTGGGTCAGGAATTTGAACCCCACTTCAGCTACTGGGGTTTGAATAGCCTTTTAGCATTATTAGGTCACAACATGTGTTGCTTACTGTCTACTGAACGAGAGTGCATGCGGTTGCTTAGTGCGTTTTACGTTCTTTTTGCTGTCACTTGAAGGTCAGGACTTCAAGTAAGAAAATTATAGAAACCATGAGAAATCAACTGATATATAACTTCCATCTAAACCCCCTGTAAACCATAATATCTGATTAATTCAGAAAGACTCAAGTATGACATAAACTAAATGATATGAGGTAGTTAATCCTCAAAAAGCACAGAGATAGGTAGTTTAATCCTACCTCAAAGTGTACGTTAGGAAACGGTGAGGATGGGCAATAACGACTGCGAAATAACGATCAAACGACCTTAAACAACTAAATGGAACCAACGGATGTTGGAAAGCAATCACGATGAAAATTGAATTAATATAAAAATTAACGGATATGTGCACCTGAAGCCGTTACTCTTCACATATGAGAAGTGGGTGGGAAAAGTGACATTGAAGTAGAGATTGCATAACACGAACATAAATGGTTGGTGTATATGCTCAAAATCTGGAGAAACATCCCACCATAACTATTCCCAACTATATCACTACGATTCCATAAATGTCAAGGATTACAGCCGGTACTTTTTGGTGGGAAAATTTCCAGAATGGCTGAAAGATATGTTTCTGTACCATACATTTATTTTACTAAACACTCGAAACTTTACTTTGTTTTCTTGTGAATACTCCTGTCGGTGTGAACCACAGTAGCAAATAAATGGACATGATGCTAAATAAGTATTTTCACAGCTCTTTCAGTACAAGTCTTCGTTCTAATATTTTTCAACGTTCCTTGCGCATTTGTTTGAGGGTCATGATACCTTGGTTGTGTTGCACACTCTAAGCTGAATGGTTCAGTTTGATACCTCGACGAATGAGGAGAAATCACGCATTACTGCGTCATCAGGAAGTGGTGATGAAAATACATGCTAGAGACCAGCCATACGAAACCTATTAGTTCACTAAGAAAATATTAAATCCACACAAAAAACAAGCCATAAATGAAAGCTGTTCCACAAGGAACCTACTTGGTAGAATCATTACACTTGAAGTTTACGTCTTGAATTAAGTGATTTTAGAGTTGCAACGACCTAGTGATATTCCACACAACATCCCTTTACCATATGCTACAATAAAAATTCGATCGCATCACTAAATGAAATCATGAAGGTCTCCAGATTACTTGAAAGTGAAGCATTGTAAGCAGAGATTGGTTGTCAGCTGTTTAGCGGGAACTACTATAGTGTAGAGTTAAAACTTGCTTAAACACATCAGTGACATGCACAACTTAAAACATGAAATGACCACAAGTTGGTTCACATTCTGGTGAGAATTATTAACACTGCTTTAAGTAGGCTTCTGAACTACATGTACATGCAGCATCACACATATATAACACGCATTTGAACACTCCCAGCTTACCTCGCCCGTGAGTTGGTTGACACCCAGGTATATATCTCCAAATGATCCTGAACCAATCTTCCGCATAAGTCTATATTTGTCATTAATAAGAATGTCCCCTCTTTGTCTATTGATAAGGTCCGCCATATTTACGACTCTATTCACGCGGGTGATCTGGCAATGGATAGAGGGGATAGAATGTATCAAGGTACTGACGCACCTCTAGGTCACCTGGCTAGTACGCTATTGGTGGAGAAACATTCGCGTCCCTTTTTGAGGTCGTTTCGAAAAAAGCGATAATAGCATAAATTCGTTTGTATTTTGTTCTTTTAGAGTTGAGCAACTGTATGACTACAGTTACCATGCGTTTCGTGATGTCTGAAGAATCTGACAGTTGGAAAAGCTGAAAAGTGAAAAGAATCACTCTACAAGTTACAACTTACTAACCCATAAAACATCTGCCTCACCGAGGCTAAATGCAAGAAAGCAGAGGGGATTTCCTCGTACACTGCAGGAGCGAACCGGAAAGCTTGAACCAAGCCCTAAGAACTAGACGCGAGAGATCAAAAACTGTCAGTTTTCTGCGCTCACACTATCAATATTGAACATCGGAATCGATCTAAACACAACTACGAAGTACTATAGTCATCCATAAACAACAAACACCACTTCCTCAGGTGAGTTTAGGAAACATGCTCACTTCGTGTTGCTGCAGTTAGTCGTAGAGATCAAGATAAACCCAATCTTGAATATCATTTGGTCACACATGTATGTTCATATATGTGCACATCTGGCCAAAGGGGAAGTTGTAGCGTCACACACTTCTCCAAAATCAATATCCTGGGGTTTGACGGCATTCAACATTGATGCTGACCTTGATAGCTTAACTGGACTCGCTAAGCTGAATGCACCCGGTCAAGCATCCTCGCCACTTGGTACGCTGTCGTGCTACGTTGCACTGCTCGTATTCGACTCTCTAGCCAGTTAGTTGGAACGCATCTGTATCTTGGCACAACCACCCAAATATACTATTCCATCTGACTACGCTATTGTGTTCTTCCATGGTCTCGTATTCGTGGGTACATAACAAGTTCGAATAATTAGTGATTGGTCTTTGCGTCTGTCAAGTTCGCACCAGGACAATTCCAATAAAGTAGCCTACTGGTATAGATATCTCTGTCTGCTACTTCTTGAATAAGATAATTGTGACTTCTTTCAGCGTGGGTCAGTAAACTGCTTTGTATCAAGATTTCCTGGAATTCATATGCACCGATTCCACGATATAAACTATGAAGATGACTTGAAGAATTTCTTTGCTTCATTTGCTTGTTACCTTGGGTTCGGTTTACGGAAGTCTTCCAGTAGAGAAACACCGTCTTCTTGACTTTTGATTTCTCTCCAGAGTTTCACGTCATCTGCAAAGAGAAGGATTTTGGAAGGAACCTGTTGAAGCAAGTCGTTTGTGTATATCAGAAATAGGAGAGGCCCTAGCATTGAACCCTGGGAAGCACCACCAGGACATTCCGTTTCTTCAGACATAGAGAAGCTCACTCGAACTCAGGATGAATGGCCTCGTAGATATAAAGACAGCCAGTCAATGAGCGGAGGTCGAATCCCAACTAATTTTGATTTGTGGATAAGACAGTCGTGATTAACACGATCAAACGCCTTGGCAAAGTCTAGATAGATAACATCAATTCGTCTCGGCCGGTTAACAATGCCAGGCCAGCTATCTACAGCAGTGAGCAAATTGGTAATGCAGGAACACCCCATTCTAAATCCACCTTGTTGGGGAACAAAGAAATTTATCTTTGTGAGGTAATCCCTCACTCCATCGCATACCAACGATTCAATTACTCTGGAAGAAATGTATAGAAGTGTCACCGGCCTGTATTTATTGGGCTTGCTTCGTTGAACCCCTTTGGAGATTGATGTCATGTGGCCCAGCTTCCAGGAGTCAGGCACTACCCCCTGACACAGAGGACTCTTAAATAACTTACTTAAGGGTTCGGACAAGACGGGCTCCTTCTAGCAGTACCACCGGATTGATTTTATCTGGTCCCGGAGAGGTGTCTCTGATAAGCAGCATCAGTTTGTGCTGCAATAGCTCAACGCTCAGGTCGGTCACTAGAGTCATACTACGTTAGAGGGATATTCGTAAGCTCCTGAGTAGGTGGACGATGACGAAAAGATTTGCAGATGCTGGTCGGCCAAGAACTCAGCTGCTTCAGTGTCGCTATTAGTCAGTCTGTTTGCACCTAGTAGTTGAGCGACTCCCGCTTTAGCCTGCCGGAATGAAGCAGCGTAGCGGGAGAGACTTCTTGGGTTATACACGAAAATGTTTGTAGGCCTGACTTGATGCTGCTGCTGCCGATCGGCCATCAAAGCCTTCGTACACATGTTTCTTGTCTGTTTGAATTGCCTGTGGGTACATTTGGTACTAATCCTTTGTGTTCAGCCCAGTGATATCTCTTTAACTTAAGTAGTTCGCAAGCGTGCTTCCTTGCTACCTTAGGTAACTTGAGGCACTTCGGCCTCGAAAGTGGAACATACTGACTGATCGCATGCATGATCTTGTCGAATATGAATTTCCAATGGTTGTTCTTATCTTGCCATTTATGGTTCACTTCTCAATCTGTCTGTTCCAGTGAAGTTAGAAGAACTTGGGTGTTAAGTTGTCTGGAGTTCCGACGATGTTCATTGAAAGGTCTGGTTGGATTGATTTCACAAACAAACTGGAAGCCGATGACAACGTGGTCACTGCTGCCTAAAGGAGGTAAGATTGCTAAGTTGCCTATGAGGAATTCTTCACTTGTGAAGACGCAGTCTGAGCGAGATGGGGTTTGAGTCTCCCTCACCCACGTTGCTGTCCTCACATTTTCCGTTGACCTCAGCCCCTCAATCGGATGGAAGAATCTGACTTCAATGGAATCGTCACTCTCACTAAACGTGTGATCTGCATAGTTAACCTTCGGTAGGTCTCCTAAAGTTAGTATGTGTGTATGCCCCAGTTTAGGAGGGCAACTGATTGCCTCTAGCTTCTGGTTGTCATACTATTAGTCTGCAGGTGGCCCCCATGAATGACTTCCACCAGGTACTTTGTGGTCTTGGACAGCCTTATGGTGCACCGAACGGACTTTTCGAGGGGTTCCAGATCTTGGATATAGATTTTGTGGGCTGATAGAAAGGAGCTGACGTAAAGTGTCACCCCAACCTCCCTACCAGCCTTTCTGTCATCGCAAAATAACATGGCACTAGGAATTGCCAGCTCCTGATTTGTCATGCCAGGAGAAACCCATGCCTCAGTAACACCGACAAGGTATGGATAAGTGTCCTTACTTAGTTCCCCGCAGCTGGTCTAGTTCGTTCGGTAAACTTCATGCGACTTACGTTATCTACCTGCAATGCTTGCACCCTCTCTATTTTCCAGTTGGCTGGCTGAATCCTCAGGCGTTGGAGCCAGGAATGTGCCCAAACTTTGCCTACCAATGTTGTGTTCCCCGACCCTTCCCCGTTTCCTGCTTCTAGGCAGTTATCCATAGGTACTAGTTTCTTCTGTTTTTGTCCCGCAACCTGCCAGGCTGCATGAGGACTCCAGGTGGCAGGCAATTTCTGTTCACTGAGAAAGCCCCTATCGTAGATGATGCCATTTGAGAGGGTGGAAAGGCCAGTTTGTTCAGCATTGGTCTGGGGTCATCGTCTTTTTAGGCATACGTGAGACGCTTTGGGCGATTACTACCTTGAGGTTCATAGTAATTCTTGAGAACTTGCACTCATGAGAATCGTAGTGAATATCTTCGGTGCCTGGGTTTTTTTGGTATGCCTTGCACTATTTGGTGTTTTCCTCTGCTGCGGCCGTCACGATCGTCGCCCGAGGGGTTCTTTAGAGCCTTTCCCCTAGTGTAAGATATCTGGCAGTGTCCTTACCCCCCTTCAGCTTTTAGCATGTGAGATGTCAAGAGTACACCCTCTACATCATTTGGGTTGGAGAACGTGAGCCATAAAGGATGGGGGTTGCCCTTAGTTATTAGGTGGGCACCATGAGAGAGCCTAGTTGCAGCCGCTGGTTTTATTTGGCCCAGCTCGAGTTTTCTACACATGTTCTGTCGAAGAACCCCATCATTCTTGTCCTGAAGGCTGTATGGGAGATCAGAGCTGTCTGTCAGGATCATGATGATCAAGGAATCATTCCGGACAGTGGTCTGTCTTGTTAACTTTTGGTGTTTAGGCGTCTTTCATCTTTTTTACAAGCCGGTTCATTTCTCGACTTTTCGTACTCTCAGGCTACTCCAAGTAACCCTTGACTCTCCCGAGATGGTTGGAACTATCTTGGAACCCTGGTATAATATATCTGGCACATTCCCTAGAGCAATAGAGATAAGTTAGTGCAGACCCAGGGAACAAAGGCAGACTGAGAGGTGATTCAAATGTTTGCCATTGGCCAACCCGCACCTAACGATAGAACGGCTGGACGACGAGAAAGAGTTTTTATCGATCTTGCCCCAGATAGAAGAGTCCTGCACTAGTTCTCAGTCAAACAGATCAGTGGATCTAGTAGCCCCTGGTTCCATAGCCTTATCAAAAAACTTAGCAAGGCCTGCCATTTAAAGGCTAGCAACATATCCTTGACTCAACCCGTTTCTGGGACCTCCGGTCCTCACACTCATTCTCTGTACCTATAGTAATGTACGTGGCCTGCGCTTCAAGCTAAGGTTATTAGTTGATGAGGATGTCCCTAGCGTAATGGCTTTCTGTGAAACGTGGCTCACGGAGACCATAAAGGGCGAGGAAGTTTGTTTATGATGGCTCAGCCTAATCCGAAAGGATATACCGGAGGGCTCAGGTGGCGTTGCTCTTCACACTTGCCTTCCCTAAAAGTCCATGAGATTCATTCCCATAGAATTGGCACTAAAGATGCCCTCTGGTGTAGCATTAAGCGCTGTGGAGGTCCGTGTTTAGTTGGAGTCTGTAGTAGACGCCACGTTAAATAAAATGTTAATACAATCCATTAGAGGGGCTCCGGAACCGAACTTTCCACGGGTCCTCACTATGGGGATGTTATCTTTCCCTAACTCTTATCACAGAACGTCCATCTACTGCTCTAAAAGACTTTCTGGAACTATTGCTAGAAAACTCCTCGATCGAACATGTCTGCCAGCTTACTCGCTGGGTATTTGACGGTAAGGCATCCCATCTAAATTATATTTTCACAAATCAGTTCGTTGGGGCAACCAACTTGATTGTTTTCAGTCGTCTTGGCCTGGGTGACCATGCAGTTATCTCCTTCAGTAGCTTTGTATCTAAGCCAACCGCTTCCGATCACCCACTGGCCAGGAATTACAGGAGCACTAATTTTGAGGTCTGGCGAGATCTAGAAGGCTCGCTTGCCTAAGCTGCTATGACCCACTGCATCTGGATGCCAGATAGGATGTGTTGAAGAACACAATCCTCCGGACGATACAATATAACACTCCTATGATTTTAGGAAGTATCAAAAAATTCTACTCCTCCTGGCTTAAGTCAAGCACCCGCAAACTAATGTGGCTTAAACGGTCGTCTTGGAATTTATGGAGATGTACTAATAGCCCTTTTGACTGGCCTAATTATAAAGAAATCCGTAACAGATGTACAATAAGAATCAGAAGTGACGGAATAAACTACCAGACACAACTATGTAGAACCCTGGAGGGGAATCATGTGATACTGCACTCGCTGATGAAACGGAAGAGTAACAGTTCACTTAGTTTACAGGACCCCATTAGTTTAGAGGCTATCCATTCTAACTCCGAAGTAGCAAACCTACTAGCTCATGAATTCCAAGACAACATATGTCATTTAGAAGGTAAAACCACGCATCTGTCGAATACCCATACTACAGAGGGTTTGATCCGCCTATAATTAATGAAATATTAAAGAATCTTTGCCCGAATAAGTTTCCGGGAACTGATGGGATTCACCCAAGAGTACCTAAAGAGTGTGCTGATGCCCTGCGTGTCCCACTGGCAAAACTCTTCAAATGCTCGTTTCCGGAAGGCAGGTTACCCTCTGATTGGAAACGGGTGGCTGCCATCCCAAGTTATAAAGGTGGAAACAAACCACTTGCCTCCAGGTACAGACCGATCTCCCCGATCTCTTCAGTCGCGAAGGTCATGGAGGGAGTCATAAATGGCTCAGTTCATGATCACTTACTCAAGAAATCAATCGTAAACGACTGTCGACATGGCTTTCTACCGGGAAGGTCATGCAACACCAAATTACGATACCTTGGAATGGCTGGATACTCTCTGTCGAGCAGGAAATGCCTATTCGCATTAGCTTACACGACTTCTCTAAGGCCTTTGATGGGGTGAATCATGATATCCTTTGTAAGAAACTTCCGCTTATGGGCATACACGGAAAGTTAATAATTTGGCTTAGAGATTATCTGTACACCAGGTTGCCGTCAGTTAGAGTTGGCCCCTCTCTATCTAATTGGCCCCCGATGCTGGGTGGTGTGCCTCAAAGTTCTATACTGGGCCCAGTACTGTTTCTTGCTTTTATCAACGACCTACCAATAGTCCTTAGTGCACATTCACCATCATATGCCAATGATCTGAAGATTTGGAGGAAATACAGGAGCCAACGGATATTTCAGTCTTCCAGGAGGATCTTAAGAAAATCCTTAATTGGATTACAAGAAACCTACTTCCTCCCAACTCGAAGAAGTGTTGAACAATGATAGTTGACAAGTATAAAGGCAGTCCCAGTTCTTACTCTCTGGGTGAAACAGATATCTGTCACTCTAACATGGAACAAGATCTAGGAGTCACACTAAGTGACACACTAGAAGCCTCAGTCCACTCGCCTTGCAGCCACTAGGGCTTATGGAGTCCTGGGGTTTCCCTCGCTACCTTTAGGGGGTCTAACTCCCCTTTTCACGACAGCGTACGCTGTGTACATTTGCCCTCATCTAGGAAAAATCGCTTGTACAACATCGGAGGATCAGAGGGGATATCATGATGATGTACAACATAACCCATAGTCCCCTTCATCCTAGCAGATCCCTTCTAGGCTTTAATCGAAAACGCGACCTGCCGGGTCACCCGTTAGGAATAGAGCCTGAGAGAGCGCGCGCTAAGATTTGTGCTGACTCATTTGCGGTTAGAGTCTGTAAACTGTGGAACTCCCTCTCTTCAGCATTTGTCATAGCCCTGATCCCCTGATACTTTTAAAAGGCGATTAGACGCATACCTCTATTTCTACGGTATGGATGGGCTGTACTCGAGAGGGTTTCCCTAGGCCGGATGCAGTAATACTACCTTGAGACCAGATTAATTAATAATCTTATCTCTTTCAGGTTTTCAGAACCGGGAAGATAATTATGACCATTCCAAACTGGGAACGCATTCCAATAAGACAGACGTAGAACTCAAGGGACCGCCTCTCACCATATCTGAAAAGAGACGTGAACCTCCTGGAGAAGGTCCAAAGGCGAGCTACAAAGGGTGCCATGGGAATGAGGTGAAAACTACATCAGGACAGGTTGAAAGATCTGGGACTGTACTCTCTAAGCTACCGTAGATTACTTGGTGACTTGGTAACAACTTACGAAATACTAAGCAACTTAAGTCATCGGAACGGCAGAATACTACCGAACAGCCACTATGGCGATCCTCTTAGTAACCCAAGGAGAATCGCCCACCAAAGAGCGAAAACCCGTGGGCGATCACGCTTTTTCGCTCTGCGAGTTTCCGGCCACTGGAACGCACTGCCTACCGAAATTGCTACTGCTCCGTCTGTTGACAGCTTCAAGAGGAGGCTGGACAGTTACGCAGCGACGCACGGTTTGTGCTCATCCAACTGGCATGCGGACTAGTCTGACACAACATACTAACTCGGTACAGCCAACCGCTGCTGAACACTTCGTAAAACCACTATCACTGGGAACTTGGCTCAGCCTCATACCTTTCTGTAGACATCCTCTCCGGTTACCGCCTCCTACTAAGAGAACTACTTTATTCCCATTCGTCCTATAACGTTATTTATTCTTCTTCCTTCTGACTTTACGTCCTCGAGCTTGAACGAAAGCTCCTCCTATCAGCCCTTTCCAATAAACCTATCAGTGTTTCTTCTTCTGTTCCGTTCCCTCTTTCTTAATCTTCTTCTTTCCTCTCTTTTTTCGTTTCCTTTTTCCATTTGTTTTTCTCTGCACATATTTTTCGTCTCCTTTTTACCACAAGTCCAACCAATTGTCTGCTGGCACAAAACTTGGGGGACCCATCTGCACCGTAGTCCTCGGAAGAAAAAGCAAACAAACAAACTACACTCCCTACAAATTTAACCAACACCCAACCGGCTGTTGGGCTAACCAGAGCTACAGCAATCGACTGGGTAGACCTACTGCATCGGAATCCACCAATGACCTGGAACCGTTCGGCAAGGCCTGGAAGCTAGCGCGAAGAAATCAGTTGGTTTACACTAGCTCGTAAAAAGATATTGGATATTGGAATTGGAACACGAAGTTGAAGTTTGAAGTCACTCAAGGTCGACCTGAAGTTAAAGGAGCCACTTTTGCTTGTGGATGATGCAACGCTTTGTGGTTGCAGTTTCTGAAGATCTTTGCCTTTTCGTTGTGAGTGACTACCGTTTGCAGGTTTTTTTTTCACTGTATGGTGTCTGTACATTATTTGTACTACAGAACTCATCAGCTCACCTCTTTCGCTCCGTCTTTTCTCAGCCAGAATCTCGACGTCATCGCAATACTAACTCTTCTTCTCATTCCTCTGAAACACCGTGCCTGCAAGCTACATGAAAGTTTACAAGCAGCTATCCGTCACAGTAACCTACGAATCCAGCTATGTAATTTGATCTTTTACTGGTTTGTAAGTGTAACAGTTAATAGTGACGTTTGACACCAAGGTTAAGTCATTGTATAACTTTGATTATATACGAGGGACAGGATAAAATCGAAGAATTGTGTATTTTTGGTTTTCTGCCTGCTGGAACTTATGAAATCCATCATGCAATCGAATCGATAAGTATTATTTTCACAATTTGGTACTTAAGTGTCAGTTAAGAAAGCAAACTTCAGATTGGTTTACGCTGACCAGCAACTTCAGAATCCATCCCGATGATTACTGGACTGCTGTTAGTCCACTTAATATCGATCAGCCCTTCAGATCATCTCAAGAAAATGCCTTTAGGGAAGTTCGACTTTTTAAAAACTCAGTTTTAGGGAAGCGTTAGTATATACATTCCGTGACAAAATGGTTTGCTGGTTGACACTCAGATGACTAGTTCTTCAGGAAAAAGATAAATCAGATATTTCTACACCCAAATCACTGCTAAGGAGACGTGATGTCAGTACTGTCTCTTGATTGTGAGTTCGCAGCTTGCTGTAAGACAGTGGCAGGACATCGAAAACGATCCAGTCGCCAGAGGGGCTTGATAGAAATGGTAATTTTATTCCCTAAATTGAACTTGTTAAGATATATCTGTTTTGTGTTTGAAAATGAACTGGCTGGTTAAAATTTATGATACAAGTGGGGTTTAACATATTCCAACCATAACATCGAATATATTATCATCCATACTATGGAAGGCCTTAAAACGCACAGTATGATTTAAAAACCTTATTACCTTCCTTCGATAGAATCTCTGCACAGAAAGAAAAAGGCTTGACTGGCTATCCCCAGCTTACGCCACTTATATCGCCACTGTGATATTTAATTGTCGATTAAGGTCTAAGTGTATTGTGCTGAAGTTCCCCCTATTCTACTGTATGGATGTAAAACAGCTATTAAAGGTGAACATGATAAGGCTTCAGGTGTTCGACCACTTGCTTTCGTAGCATTTGATGTATGCCGTTGTGTCACCACTTCAGTTATGCAGAAGTCATGTACAGTTTTATTGAGGATAGGGAAGTCACTTGATGAGTTTGTAAATCTTCATCGACTGAGGTGTCTGGGATGTGTATTACATATTCGTAGTCACCGTCTGTGTCGTTACAAAATGCTAGGTGAAGTCGGTTTACTTTAAAAAAGGGTTAGAGGCGGCCAGACTAAAATGTGGCATCAGTGCATAATGTCTTTGACTGTTGGTTTGAGCCATCTAGGAGGATGTAAGTTTTCGGGTAGGGTTTCGCGTGAGAACAGAGATCGGTGGTTGCAGACTGCAGGTGATATGGTTCAGGATCACTGTCAGTAGTGCAGATGTGCTCACACATTGTCATCGTCCTAATCGTCATACGAAATTCAGTATTTTCTTATTCCACCTTCCGTTTCATTACTTTAAACCACTTTGACTGCTTTTCTGTCTATTTATTTTTCAACTTAGTGCTTTCCCGCTTGATGTGCTGATATGGAGTGGGTCAACTTGAACCGTTATTCTGTAGTACTCGGTCGTATGGTAATGATGAGCTTTTCTGCCACCATTCATTGTGGTCTTAGGATGTCGACTTCTTATCGCAAAATATGCCATATAAGTACTCTAGATTGATCGAACGATCTGAGTGACTGATGAAACCAACGTACTACCTCGCACAGGAGTGCATAAGTTCAAGTTGCCACACTTAACAGAAGTACACATTACGGGTGGATAGAAAAGGAGTGATATAAAAGATTAAGCTGTGGGAGAGAATAAACAGTCTGAAGATAACTGTTATTACAGATGTTCAAGCTTCAAATGTCAACGTATGAATACATTTGCGCTATTGTGACCGATTTTCAGCCATATCACCAACAGTCCTCAACCACTGATTCTTGTCATCTCAGGGACCTCAAGTGGGTAGTTTTCCTCTCCCCACATGGCTCAGACTAACAATCGGGGACCTCATGAACTAGTGCGACTCTCCTACCCAGGAGTATTACTGATATGGGGTAGTGGGGAAGATATTTCTACTCTAGATTCTTCGACCAATCGTGAGAGCCGATTAGTTTTAGGTCTGTGTGGTTTTCGATTTAGACCAGGCTTCAAGTGGTTACGGTTTTGTTTTGATTACAGCACGATTTTCCTGCTATATTATGAATTAGAATGGTAAATAACTGGAAGTATTACTGAAAGTGATACCAAAAACATTTTTTTCACAAATGTTGCTTCTATTTTATCTTCATTGATGTCTACTTAAATTGACGTTAAAAATTTTATTTTCTAACCTTACTTCCAGTACCCCGTTGAAAATGTCTGGTGGAATATATTCTACGTTGTATTCTAAAATAATAGACATGCAAAAGAATGAAGAAGAAACCCCCGCTTTATTACCTGAGGCATTACGCAGTTTTTTGAAGACTAGTGGTACAGACGAGTCGCGAAATTCTTCTGTTGAGCCTAAAACATCCCTTGAAATCGAAGCACAAGGTCGTTTAGCATCATGGTTTTCTCAAGCAGACACAGATCCTTTAACTTTCAAAGGCATGTCTCGATATCAGCGTCTGATGGGTTTTTCTTATGTCTTCTTGCAGCCTCTCTATGTCTTTGTTTGGCTATGCTTTTTTTGCCAGTCATCGCAACACCTTTCGGTATGCGTAAGTATGTACTACTACATACACTTGGTAGTATTTTACTCATAGGAAGTTTTTCTTTTCTTTGGGGACCATGGAATTATGTTAAAAGCTTGTTTGCTACTGAGCGTTTGCCTTTTATAGTAAGTTATCTGTTGAGTTTATGTGGTGGTTTGTATTTCGTGATTGTTTGGCATAGTGCTGTATTTGCAGCGTTAGCTCTGGTTTTTCAGATTTGTCTGATTGTATGGCAAATTATTACTACAGTACCTGGAGGTAGAACTGGTTTAAGTGCACTATTACAGGTAGTTTGTGGACAATAAAAGGTGCTTCCAGAGGTCTTCCTGTTTAGCAGGTTTGACTTCATTATTGTTCTTTTTTTGTAAAATAAACTGATATATTTTTCTTAATCGTTAGTGAAATGTAAATAAATGAATTTATTGCTCATATTTTTACACTACTTTTTTAAGTTCAGTCTGCAAATAATGAATGAGGCTTACTGCACTGTTGTTGATAACTTATTAATTTTTGAATCTGGGGGTTTGTAGGGGTTTAGAGATTTTTCAGGTTGGTATTCATCATGGACTGACATCAGTTAGAAGAACATTGGGAACCTGGGAGCACTGGACAGCTGTTTCGTCCTAGGATGGGACTCTCGAGCAGTGCGCACCCATTACCCCCGCCCGGCTAGGGATCGAACCCAGGACCTTCAGGTCCCGTGGTCACCACGTGGCCACCAAGCCACTGGCTCGGCGGAATCCAGTGGTCCTTATTTCCAATTTCTGCCAATTCACGACATATTGTGACCACCACCCAATGTCATCGTTGAGTATTTGCCCTCACGACTACCAGGTTTTCCCCACTGATCATGACTTCTCATTGAAACTTCGGGAATCACCTCTCGAACTTAGTCACCGATGAGCATTAGCTCAGTTGAATCTAAATCCTCACAAACCCCCGAATTCAATTGATCCAGTGCTCATTGGTGACTAGCTTCGAGAGGTGATTTCCGAAGTTTCCATGAGAAGTCATAGCCAGTGGGGCAAACATGGTGGTCGTGAGGACAAATGCTCATCGACGACATTGGGTGGAGGTCGTACTATATCGTGAACTGACAGAAATTGGAAATGTGGACGACTGGATTCCAACCCAGTGGTTCAGTGGTAGCGTGGTGGCACCGGAACCTGAAGGTCGCGGGTTCGGTCCCTGACGGGGTCGTGGGTGCGCACAGCAGAGGAGTCCCATAGTAGGGTGAAACAGCTGTCCATTTCTCCCAGGTTCCCAATGTTCCTCCAACTAATGTCAGTCCATGATGAATACCAATTTATTAATTTTTGTTAAGTACCTACAGAGTTCATTGTGGTTACTAATAAATTATTCCGTTGTATACAAATGTTTGTTCACACTTTAGTCCTTATATCATAAAGGATTGGAATACGAAGTTTGACTTTCTTTTAAAACGTAAGGATAATAGGGACCACGCGCAAGTGGATTGATGAGGTTGTGAACCTTAGTCGACTGAGATGGCTTGAACATGTACTGCGTATGCCGACCCACCGTCTAACTCGATGTGGGATGCTAGGGGAAGTTGGATTAGGTTGGGAGAGGGTCCAAGGTGGCTAGATCATGACGCGGCACCGGTCCATGAAGTCCCTAATTGTTGGTCTGAGCTGTGTGGGGGATATGTAAAATACCTGTTTGGGGTCCTCTAGACGATGGAATCGGTGGTTGAGGACTGTTGGTCATATGACTGGAAATCAGTCATAATGGCGCATATGTTTTCACTCCCTAGTGTCTAATAAGGCTTGGATATTCGCACTAACTTTTGTATTCAAATTATTTATTGTCTCACACAATTTTGTCTACTTTGATATCACTTTTTCTATCCACTTGTTCTCTGTATGCTACTGTGAAGTGTAACAACTTGAATAGATGGACTTGCTTAGGAGTTTCTACGTTGATCTTGTCTAGTTTTGTAGTTGGTTCATCTCGCCAAACTCTTTGAAAAAGGTGCAAAATAAAATCTATTGAAATCATGCTAAGAGGAGAGCACAGGAACACTTATTATTATTATTATTATCTGTGATTATTAAACACAAGAAATCATTGATGAGAGTGGGAATTAACATTCAGAATAATCCCAACTAGGTAGGATGCAAGAAACTGCAAGGTGATTGTTGAGATGACTAAGTGAATGTTTTTAGAAGAAACCTTTAAGAAGTTGGTGTAAATGCTGTTTTTTACATGGAAAGGAAACATTGACGTTGCATATTACATAACTCTAAAAATCAAGTAATTAATTATACTCTGAAGTGTATGGTGTGCGGAATTCAGTTAACAAAAACGATATGTTGAGAGGAAAGAGAGAATAAAGATTGAATAAAACTATGAATCGACTGAATTTTGAAACTATTTTTGGTAAACTGTGGCCGGGAAGAAATTGTGTTAGATTGACATTGTTGTTGTTAATACGCAGTGAAGGCCTAAGATTTTTGACAGGGTTATATCCTGTAAAACATAATGGGTTCAAGTTATGTATATTTGGATATTTTGAGCAACTTAAAGCTGTTCCCATCATATCTAGTATTGAGCAAGTCATAAGAAATACTGTTTAACTCTTGTAGAATGCATAGTAGTGAGGAAGAGAATTTTCATTCTTGTTTGTCTGATGGATACACTTTAGAACGCAAATGTAAATTGGCAGATGCAGTTAGCGATAATGTGAGGTAGTAGTTTGTTTTACTGATCATCTTAACGACTGATTTTTCTGAATCAAGTAAATAAGCTTATCAACTGGGTAAGCCATTTTCAGTGTAGCCTTCTATCTGTCGTTAGTCCCTTCAGTGATTTCGTCATCCATGAAGGCGAGTTTTAAACAGATTCTTATGAACTATATTACGCTTGACTATTTTCGCATTTGGTTCCCTAGATTTTTCGACAAACATTTATGGTTAAATATTACCACAGACATTTCTGTAGCCTGTAGCCTATTCTTCTTCAAGTTTCTCTAACAGTGTCCGTGTGCGATTGAATCGTATCGTAAGCAATGTCTTTGATGAATATTACATCGTACGATTTCAAAATGGTAAATAATATTTGTAGCTCAGATAAATGATCTTGGTTGTGTTGGGTGGTTTAGTCGTGAAACTTTCAATCACATACCACTTCATCATGGCAGGCTACTGAACCATTCATAGAGAAATACTTATAGCTCATTTCATATTGAAGTTAGTACTGATGATATCTAGAAAGACAATGAAAGCTTCACAACTAAACAACCCAGCTTAGTGAACACAATGCAACCAGGAATATTGCGCATTATTTGTCACTTTGAATAGTGAGATCCGGGAAAAAAAGGTTATCATTTTACTAATTTTCCATTGGAAATTGTATAATGGGGTGTGCTTTACTGAGAGAACTCAGTGCAGATGTGCTAATGGACATAACTTGAAGTGCTTTCAAGTTTACGGGGATTGACTTACGGCTGTGAGTGGAAACGCTGACAAATGGAGTTTTCTGAACGCCTTGAACAGGAATCTGAGTGTACTTGGCATACATTTCGCTTGTGTCAAGCATAAGATGGTGTTTCAGAACTGATCCGCACCAATTTTCAATTTAAGGTCTGATTGTAGTGGTGTAATGTGTTGGCCACTTCAATTACTTGCATTAGTTTGAATGGGTAGGTTGTTAACAAAATCCCAACACAGATACAAAAAGTCTGCTTAATACCTGCCAACCTACGTCATCTTTAGCACAGGCCACCCATTAAAGGGCGAATGTAACGTCAACAGTTCTCACTGTCTTGTTGTAAGACGTGATAGTTCCCGTTTTGCAATCGCAGGTACTTTCATAGGGTGAAATCACTTTGTTGGCAACATCAAGTTAAAGCCAACGGTATTAAGCAAGGAAGGAATGTCATTTGATGAAGTTGTGGGTCTTTTTACCAACTGAAATAGCTTGAATACATGTTGCACCTGTCGAGTGACCGCCTACCTCGACCTACAGTGTTCACTGAAGTACGATTTGGTTGGAAGAAGGCTAAAGATGGTCAAACTGAGACCTAACATCGCTTCATGAAGTCTGTGACTGCCGATCTGAGCCATATATAGGTCGTCTGGCTGGAATAGTTGAGGTAATGGAAGCGAATTGTTGTGATATGAATCAAATTTGTCACTTTCGAAGTTATTAGTATTCTCACTAACCTTTCTCTTCGTCTTCTCTTTTTTCTACCTGAATACGACTCTTCAATTGTAGTTGATTCATTCGATGTGTCACATAGTGAACAAACAGCATCATTTAGTGGATAACGTTTCGGACACAAATAATTGTCCATATTCATATAAGATAACTCCACAACTTTGAGACATGATTTATATAGTTCTCATTCTGTTGCCTTCTTTGTGATATAGGTACTAGGATTTACCATGTTTCAGGAACAGGCGTTGATTCGATAAACAAAGGTTCAGTGATCAATCATTCCCGCCAGCTCGCTAGGTTACTTTCAAGAATTTTCACTCTGTCGTATCTTATTGTACGGTTGTGTGTAATTGTATGCATAGCTATGGCTGTGCCTTATTTTATAAATTCCTTATGTTACTAAGATCTACCAAATTGGATCTAGCTAGATATTTGGGCTGGAACAGCCTAATTGGTCGACTATTTTCACCTATGTATTTGACCTCAAATCGTTGCAAGGGATTTGGTAGGATCTTTCAACCCTCAAAGCTTATTTGGAAGTGAGTTTGTAGGTTTAAATGCCACTGTAATCCCAGCCAGCCTTATGGAGAATCCTACGTAATATTTCTGAGGTGCCTTCTTTGTATGGTAATACTGTAGAGGTTTTAATTCTCTATTCACAGTATTGCCACTACTATTATCAACGTAATTATCGATTAATTTGGGAGAGTAATTATTGATGAGCAAGGTGTCTTTAATCTACTGGTTTCTTGTCTTAGATCTTCTGTTTTATTAGTAAGATTTTTGCCTTGTTACTTAGGTACTTTACCAGTCCAACTTTAACTGACACAGGGTGAGACGATTTGAAGTATAAGTAACAATTTTTTAATGTGGAGGTTTTCTGTAGACATTAGTGTCTAAACTCCCATTTTGTTTCCATTTTATTCTTCAATCGAACATCGTTAATTCCCCTTCACTATTTTCTGATTCATAGGTGAGTTGGATTGGGTTGACTACTGAATTTATATGTTCGTGAAGAAACTATGTATATGGTCTCATTTCAACACTTTAAATGTGTCGTGTACATTTCAAAACTATATTCTAGGAGCAGGACTAAATGTTTCGATCACCAGTATCTTCTATTATG